TCGAGTGTCTGATAGGAGGTAGCACGACACACGCATCGACGCGACGAAAACAAAAAAAAAAAAGTGAAACACGCTAATCTACTGGTCATGGGGGTCCTGGGGGAATAACCCGATTCAGACTGACAGGGATTGACAGTTGTCCATCGCTAGCTTGATCCTTCCTTACATTCTTGTTGAAGTATCGTGAGATGGTGAAGCAAATTAAAGACAACGGCATGGTTCACTCAAGAGAGTAGCGTCTTGAAGGTCCGGAAAGCATCCGGTTCGTTATTATGGATCCGCGGAAAAATGTACATTTCCTCATTTAGGGATTGGTGTCGGGTGCGTCCGGTCCTTGAGCGTCGGCGTTCGGCGCTTACCCCCTGGATTGGGGTTTGAGCTTGAGCGAGTGGTGGGCGCCATGTGGTCGCCTTGTAGTTAAAATGAATCCGGTTGAAATTCACAACAAACGGGCAGCAGGGCCCATAACCTGACCTGTGCAAATTTCCCTTTCTAACTGATATTCAGTTCCATACGACGGGCTCTGGACAACTGAGCATCCTGATGTAATCAGGACACCAACTATCCACCAGGCTCCGCACTTGGCTCCGCAATCATTTTGTGATTGCAGAAGCATTGCATGAAAGTGACCAGACTGGGAATTGAACCCAGTGCTTCTGCTTCTGCATATTATATACTAGGTGCTCTACCACTCGAGCCACCTAGGCATAGGTTCCTGAAGTGGGTTTTACAACTGTTTTACATCCTTCATTGTTAGTTGCCTGTAACGCCAACCCTTGCTTGGGCCAACCAGTATAAGTGCGGATGTGTCTTTCATCTTCCATCTTCTTCTAATTGATCCTTCCCTCTTCCCTTTCCTCCCTCGCCTTTCCCAGCCCCTTAGATCCAGTGGATGCCTCAGCGAAGACTTGCGCAAAGTGTTGAAAATAACTTCAAATTTATCTACAATCGGTTGATCCGACTGGACTTATGGCAAAAGCGTGCGTACCAACGTACCAACAAACACTGTTCCTGACTCAGTCTCCCCCGGGTGCTTCTGCTCAGCCCTCCCTCGCTTGACATTGAGGCACTCTCCGGGAGCAAATCCTTGCGATGTCGGTCCAGTGCGAGAGTCGCCGCAACGCTCGCAAATCCCAATTTTCAATGGACGGGGGACTCCGTTGTGTCGTGGTAGCGCTTGAATTCATCCCGCAGCTTCTTGATCCCGGAGCCGACACAGCGCTGACACCTGAGCCCCTTGTGTGCTCTCATCGATGCGAGATTGCCGTTCTTTCCGTTTCTGTCGAGTCCTGCTGGACAGATTGTCCTGCGGGATTGGTATCGGTTGCTGAGTTCGGCGCGGTCCCGGTCGCAGGCCATCCAAGTTGGGCGTGGCCCTGTCTGCGGACTAGGCAGTGTCGAGAACTGTCTGTCCTCAGCAGCACGAGGCCGTAGCTAGCAAGGCTGCGTTGCTACCATGAGCATGAACTTCGTGTTTTATACTTTCTTCTGCTCGCAGAACACAGAACACAGAGCCACAATGACTGTATAGAGTGCCCTATGTATGGGTGGTGCGCATTCAATTGGCGGGGTGGAATGAAAATCCACATACCTGCAATTGCTACCTTCTTGACCCCTCCGATTGATAGCTCTTTCTTGCTTGAATGAGACCTTAATCTGCTAAATAGCCTAGCTCTTTCAAGTCACTGGTCACCAGCTTCTTAGAGGGGCTGTTGGCATCTAGTCAACGGAAGTTTGAGGCAATAACGGTCTGTGATGCCCTTAGATGTTCTGGGCTGCGCATGCGGTACACTAGTACTGCCAGTGACAAAGCCACACCATGACATGGCTCGACTTGACGGTGGGGAGAGGACGATCGACTGTGCGCACATCAACTCAGAGCACCTTTTGAAGTTTGTGAGAGCGCCAAACCACGGTGATCGGTGGCTAATACCCAGCCCACGTTCTCAATAGAGCATTTGATACCGGAGTCATTCGCACAGCCTGAGTATGTCAATACAGCGTATTTATGTTCTTCCCGTAAAAGAGCAATTCTCCATACAATCTCCAAACAAGCTCAGTCGACACGGTCCGCATTTACGCGTTTCCCTAGTGATTTCTATGTCGGGGGTCCCTCAGACGGGCACCTTCCGCATTCAGTTATACCTCTTGTATCACCGTTGCTGGCTCAGCCTAGCTGTAGCTAGCCGAATCCAGCCCTGCGTGTCCGTCCATCCAGCAGCACTGCAGCAGCGTCTGCACGGCAGCCTTAATGGATAATTTGTTTCCCCATATCAGACACCAGCGAGGCAGTAACGAGGCAGGTCACCATATCGCTAAAGCGCTGAAATTTGCCACTGGCTGCAGTAGACGCTGAATGGAGGTTCAGTTGCACGAAAAGCTGACGCGCACATTTTTAGGTCTTCCGAATCGATCCCCTCTGACATGCTGACACCTCCAGCTCCCGCTTCTGCTCCCTGATGATTGTTGATCTAACAACGACGGCGTCGATGTGTCCCCTGTGTGCGGAGATAGCCACTCGCCAGACAAGCCATCGATTGCTCCGGCTGCCTTGTGGCGGGATTGTGTGCATGTGCGCGGCTCAAGAGCGCGCGTGGTCGCGTACGGCGGGCATGTGTATGGGCTCGTGGTCTCCGATGTGGAAGGAAGAGGCTGGTTTTGGGCGTTCTGGAGCGAGAGTCGGACATTTGCTCACGTTGCGGCAGCGTGGCAAGATGATCCAGCCTTGCTGGACCCGACGCGTGTTTAAGAAACGTCTCTTATCCGACTGTGATCAATCGATGGATGTCTGCACCTGTTCATCTTGTCTTTCTCTTCCCCAGTTGCGGCCCTCGTGGATCATGTCTGTGGTTTGGGTGGTAGTCGAGCAAATTTTGCTATACGGAAGGGGTTAATACGGTATAGTTTTATTCGGGACAAGAACACCTTCGGATCAGGATAACGGCTACGGCAAAACGAAAGCTCACAAAACCAGAGAACTCTGGCAAGAGCAAAGTCAATACAAAAATCGTACCGCCGATGGCATCACACTTCAATTCACATTCACCCCTCGCAAAAGGACTGGCAAAGAGAAAAGGAAAGTAACGCAAAACAAATTACATACAATTAGTGCTAATTGATTCCTAGGGCGGCTGCGACGTGCGCGCTGTAAGGCGACTCTGCTGCCGGCTCCCTCTCTTCGAAGACTCCGGAAATATCATCACGATGATCTGCGAAAAGGGCACGCCGATGTCCTCGTTGGTTTTGAGGCAGTGCTCCAACCTCTCCATAAACATGCTGTGCACGATCTCCGTCACCCGGCGCTTCAACAGAGCCATCGCTGGTTGAGGGTCGAAATCGAGGCATGCCTCAGGGCGGCTCCTGCGGTGCCGATCCAGCGCATCCTTCCTTGCGAAGAAGTCTCCGCAGTGGTCGCAAAATAATAACTCAAAAGGGTGAGCTTCCATATACATACAATGGCGCTTATAGTCTTCCCAGTGCCCGAAATCAGCACTGGGGCACAGTTGGCACTTGATTGTACGGACAAAGCCGCATGCCCAATCCGCCGACGAAGCCTGGAGGAGGGCCTTGTGAACCTTCCCGAGCCGTCTTGGAATCTGGATGAGGCCCCTCTCTGTTGCCTCTGGGATTCCCTGCCCGCTCCCCTCGCCCCCCAGCCGTTCTTGCGCAGTTGTGCCTACCGACCCCTGGACGCTTGGCCCCGGTCGAAAAGAGTGGCAAACTTCTTGCACATTTGGAATCGCGAGCGTCCCTGCTCCGCGTTCCGCCGCCTCGAATTTGTCGGTTTGTTCTTCCGGGGTCCCGGTTGCAGGCTGGTGGGCCCTACTTGCGTGCCCAGCCGCTACCAAAACCCCATTGACGCCCATGTTGCCCTTGAACTTCTTGCGTGGGCCGCATGTAGTACCGCCGTTTTCCTCTCCGGGCGAGGTACAACTTGTCTCTTCGCCACCACGAGCACGCTTTCCAAGACTTGTCTTCTGCTGTGCCAACATGTATCCACCATGTGGCGTCATCAGACCGCTCCCGATGTCCCACATGCCGAGGGTGGGCTCGCAGACTTTGGCAGACCACCCACTGCGATAGCCAATGTTAGCGAGGGTGGATACTTCACTCCCATATGGGAGACAGAACAGAAGATACTCACGGCATTGTGCCAACAGTGCTGGTGAGATGGGTATCGAGTGTGGTTGGTCTCATCATGTTACCATCGCCAGGAAAATAGGAAGACATAGAGTTGATGAATGGACCTGGTTGTTCGAACAAGGCCGATCCATCTCCAGGAGCGGCCAGTGCTGCAGAGCCACTTGGAATGGGTCCCTAAAGAGGTATCAAGGTGAGGACTTAAGTGCTTGGGTGACTCGTACTTACGACATACGTCCCGGCCACCTGTTCATGTTGGGCGAGTGGAAAGAAAATATCAGCCCATGAAGGATCTATTGGTGACGCTGAAACAGAGTCAGCCCCGACAGGGGCTTTAGGTCGCGTAAATACGAGCCTGAGGGCAGAGGAACGAAAGCGACCTACCAGAGGGCGGCATGAGCCAAGGACCCGGGCCAAGGAAGTCCTGTGATGCAACGAGGTACGTCAGCGCCCCGCGGTTAACAACTGAGCACTGTGCACTCACGAGATCTGTAATATCGAAGTTGCTGTGAGGAAGAGCGGAAACAGGTGAAGCCGTGGGACTGGTGTCGTGATCAGGCAGGGCAAAAGCCATAATGTCCTCGTGCGTGTTTTCGACTGTAGCGGCTGCACCCCATTCGATGTCCTGGGGCTGGGACAGCGAGAGGTGAGTAGCCTTTTACACCCAAGAGGAGACATTGCTCACCGTGATGGGGCCACCCAGCACCGAGTTGAACCCAAGCGTGGGTTGTCCATAACCCGCGGTTCCAGACCATAGCGCTGTCGGGTCCTCTTCCGTTGTCTCACCACGGGACCAGAAAGCGACACCATTGGCAGTAGTGTGGATAGGGTTCATGGTGTGTTCGCTGTTGGGAGTCTTACTGGTAGCGCGGTGTGCAGGTTTGAGGAAAATGAGCTTGTGGGGGGGGTGACGGCGACAAGCCTGTTTTAATGTACTGTGGGCGCTTGCACGAACGCCTTGCTTGCGAATGGGCTTCCACAGTTATGAGCAGGTACAACCACATACACAGTCTCCATGGGGCCGAGGCATTTTTCCTGGGGCTTTGACAATGGCGTTCCTGGCTAGGCCTGCTACTGTAGTGCTGTGACTGGATCGGATTGCTTCGTGTTTTTAGAACTGCTGAAAAAGCGCTGAAAGCCTTGGTTGCCTTGACATCACCCCGAAAATCCCTGTAAGGTGGAGCGGCATGCAGAACACATTCGATGTGACTGTTGTCTTGGATGGGGCTATTGTGCTGATTTCAGCGGATCTGTAAAAAGGTAGATAAGCCTCCACAAATAGTCTCTCGGCTCGGGCAGTCACTTTGCCGACAATGTATGAAGGGCCTATGCGTGTCTCCAATTCGAGGAGTGTGCGGCAACCTCGCGGCTGTGCGAGACACGCATTGTTCTGACAGCCAACAGTCCACATAAAAATAACCTCCGAGATGTGTCAATCAATCACGCGCTTAATCACGGTCAATTTCATAGAACCGAACGTGTGTGGGTACGTTCTAATGAGACTAGACAGTGACTAGACCCTTAAATTTCCACAGATGATGTGGCCGGGTGTACAGGAGGGGCCGAA